TAAACCCTAATATCAATTTGTTATAAGATAACGTCAAGTATAATGATTATATAATAAAAATGAATTTTAAATGAATAATGAATACAAATTAAGCAGGTCAATTGTTTACTTATAAAACCTAATTAAGCGACTTTCATGATTGATTACTAACCCACCGTACATCAATTTTGAATGAAACTGTATTGCGATGTGTGCAAATAACCTCACAATTCAGTTCAATTTCCAAATATATAACCTAATTTTAGTTCATGTTTAGAATTTAGGCACAAGAGCCTGTTTCCACGTGAAAGATATTTTTCTTATTACACTTTTTAATTAATAAATTTCAAAAATTATTTTATAATATTTGAATGACGTTGTATAAATTATTTTTAAAAAAATATTTTTTTATCATTTCTTGTTTTGTAATAGGTGAAGCCCTAAGGTTTCTTTTACAAACAGTAGCGGTGGAGATATAATATATTAAATATAAGTTTTGGTGTTATTATAGTATTTTGTCCGTAAAATTTTATGTCAAAAATGTGAATTTATAAAGTTATAGTACTAAAAATTTTAAGAATTAAATTATAAAATTTCAGTAATGTAAAATCATTTCGTCAATAATAATACAACAAAATATCAAAACTATATAAAAACTTAAATTATTTCGTTTGTCAATGCATTTAAATATGTTGTTTCGGTTGTGACCGACAACAAGAAATAAATGCCTTGCAGCCACAAGAAAAAGCTTTATTCCAATAGCTCAGAGGAGGAATCAAAGGGCAAAGCACTGCAAATGCTTAAGATAGTTGACCAATAAGCATACCATCTTTAGGCTAAATCATTTACATAGTTGTACGAGATTGATGGATTGGCTAAAGCTGGTACAAAGACACCTACAAGGATAGCAAGAAAGCTAGGATTGTCCGGAGGGACTAACCCTACAACTGCTAGCGTTTAGCTTTCACTTGCTTGAAAGAGATTTGAAAGGCTTCTTTCCATACAAATGAGATCACCCGAAGGACGCCTTCGGTATCTAGGGGTCGCGAACCCATCATAAGTGGAATGCATCAGTTATTTGTAGGAGTCGATTTTTAGTTAAAAATTTATTCGATCTGAAAGTATAAATATTTACGGTTTAGATCGGTTTGGATGTTTTTAAAAAAAAAATCTTGATGAACAAATACTGTGCAGGAAAAACACAATACTTGAGAATCATATTTCCATTAAAATATTTAGAAATGAAATGTTTACATAGGCCAGTTTGTCGATTAATACAATTCCGTGAACTCTCCAATTCTTCTTTTCCTCTACCTCCCGCTTATAAATGGCTTTAGTTTTCCTTATCTTGAAGAGGTAGTAAATTAGATGAAAATTGAAAAAGTAACTAGGTTTTTAAGACGGCTAACGTGTTCAATGAATCATTCATTCAGGCTTCCCTCTCCACATCCAAACAAGCATGGCTAAATCCAATGCTGCAGCATACTATCATCAACACTTATTAAAAAAACATTCCATTGCCAAGACTTGAACCCAGGTCTCTCAGGTGAGAGCCGAGAATCCTGACCAACTAAACTACAACGAAATCCTAAAAGTTTTGCATAATCCTTATATTTGTAAGATGCTCTAGACAAGAAATATGGAAAAATCATTTTAATAGATATCGATTCGGTTCGGTTTGGATCGGTTCCGGATTTCCAAAATCGAAAATGGACCGAACCAATCGGTTTTGTGAAAAAAAAACCAAACACACAAAATCGGTTTCGGTTTTTTGGATCGATTTTCGGTTATTTTTTTAGATCGGATTAGATCTGAACACCCTTAGTTATTTGTTCTCAGATTGAGCAGTAAAGGTCGGAGAAACGCAATTACTGTAATAATTGTCGTAGTAATTATCACGCTCATATAATGAATTTTAAATCACTATAGTAATTAGCGTAAATTGTTAATTAATTTTTGAAATGTCCTATAAATAATTATTATATTTGGATTATTGGACACATTTTAAAAAAAAATATTTTTAAATAATATTTTATTTTTAAAAAATCTATATGTGACACGTGTCACTTAACGGTTTTTTAAAGGTAGACACATAAAAATATAACGGAAAAAATTGTAGGCGCCAATTTTTAGTGAAGAATTCTTTAGGCACTAAAACGTTTTTCAAGATATTCTTTAGACACTTATTTTTGTATTAAACAAAAAAAAGATAAATTTCAAGGTAAAATACCCTCAACTGTAGGACACTACTATGTTAAATCCTTCGATTATTAAAATTTAAAAATGGGTCACTCAATTAAAGGATGTTGTTTTTATTGTGTCCTCATACTATTAAAAGTTATAAAATGTCACCAAACAATTCATATGTTCCAAACTCGTATTTTTTTGTTAAAAAATTGACAATCATCTGAGTTGAACATGAACTTGCTAACTATGATATGAAAAAACATATTTAATGATGTCTATTGACATCGTTATTGCTTTCAAATACTAGCTCGACAACATGATATTTCAAACACCAGTTTCACGACATAATTTAAATAGGGACTCAATCCAAAAATATAGCTCAAATAGTTTTGGTATTAGATGTTATCATATCTCAATGAGTCGGTTAACGTCTAGCTCAGACGATCATCAAATTTTTAACGAAAAAGGATGAGTTTTGAACGTATGAATAGCCATGTGGTTATTTCGTAACTTTTAATAGTTGAGGGATTGAAAAAATGCTACACCTTATAGTCAAGGGACCATTTTATAATTTTCAATAGTTAGGAGACTTAATAAAGCAACATTACCCTAAATTTTAATGATTATTTTTTACTAATTTGATAAAGTATGATAAATTTAATGATCATTTTATAACTTCTAAAATTTTAGTGGACAAAAATATCATTTTAGTATAGTTTAGCGGTCATTTGTCAAGTTTATCCCAAATGTATTCTTTCTTTTACTTAGGGCAAACTACATGTATTGTACCTAAACTATCAGTTTTATTTCGTTTTAGTACCTACACTTTCATTGTTTTAAAATCATCCTTAAAGTATACTTTTTGTTTCATTGTAATACCACATCGTTAACAATTTGATGAAACTGTTGCACGTGGCAATTTTTATGGATAAATGACATCATTCATCTATTAACTATCTTCTCACTCTTATTTTGATCATTAATGTTTAAAAAATTTTAATTGAACTATTCAACTTTCAAATTGTTCATGTTTTAATCACTCTAATTTATTTTATTAATAATTTTTGTGATATGACATTTTTATTGTTTTAGTAATATATAATTAAAATAAAAATTAAATTTTAAATTAGAGTGATTATATTAGAAGTTATTTGAAAGTTAAGTAACTAAATTAAAAAATTAAATGTTTTTTGAGGACAAAATAAGAGAAGGAAGATAGTTGAGTGATGAATAATATAATTAACCCATAAAAAAGTGTCATGTTGTAACACTTCTGCTGAGACTTTAACGGCTAGATGCCAAAACGAAATAAAAAATAGACGTTTGGTAAGATTTTAAAACAAATAAAAATTTAGGTACTGAAACGAAACAAAATTGATAGTTTAGATACTAAACGGGTGATCTACCCTTTATTTTATATTAATATTATTTCGCAGTTCCCTTTAAAAGGATAATTTGATAATTCCGAGCCAGTAGAGTAAAAATACACAAATGACAATTCATGGAAAAGACATTTTGGTCATTTTGTCGAGTCAGAGTTTCAGACAAAAATTTCCTATTTAACTCCGATCAAACATCATCAATAGGGCTGTAAATGAGACTAGACAGATCGTGAGCTACTCGAGATCGATTCTATCAATGTTCGATAAATACTCGGATCGAATGGACTCGACTCGAGCTCAAGCTCGACTCGAATTCTTAACGAGCCGAAATAAGCTACTTGATACTCGACTCGAAAAGCTCGTGAGCAGCTCGAAAATATAATATATAAGATTATATTTTTTTAAAAAAATTATTAAAAATATTAATATTTATGTATTGATTTTTTTAAAGAGAATACATTAAGATTTTCATGCATTTAAGGTTCAGGTTCGAGTTTAAGGCTTCATTCGAGTTAAGTTTAAGAATTTTTTTCTTCATTTCGAGCCTTTTCGAACTGCTCACGAGCTTCAGTTTAGGATTTCGAGTTCGAGTCGAGCTTGAAAATTTTAAACTCGCGAGTTTTCAAGTCGAGTCGAGCTCAGCAATACTCGAGTTCGACTCGGCTCGTTTACACCCCTAATCACCAATGGGACTGAGAATGCAAGGAAGCCAACTGATATACTTTTCTGGTAATGTTTTCAACCGTTGTTCATCAACTTTGAAAATCAATAATACTTATTGTGTTAATCTTTTTACTTGTTGTTGATGGGGTTGTGTTTAGGCGAGAATGAAGAGATGGGATTGGAGAAAGAGCAAGAATCGGAATGGATTGAAGCTCAAAAGATAGAGATAAGTTTGGATATTGCGGCTGCCGCCAAGAAGCAGCTTCAATTTCTTGCTGCCGTCGATAAGAATCGTTGGCTCCACGATGGTCCTACTCTCCCCATACTACTACTCTTGGAATTTCTTGTCTCGTCATGATTCTGAAAAGCTTCAAACATGCTTTGCATGAATGAAAAGTACAATGTAACCACTCCAATACACTTGAAAACTGCTCCATTGGTTGATTACAATCTTAAATGGTGTCAGGTTTTATGTTCTCATGTCAGTGTCCTGATATGGGTTGTTTTATGTAATTGAAAACCCCATTCTATTACAATGTAACCTCCTCTTCTATAATTTGTTTCACATCACTAAAATCATTTTCGTTTTGACTTTTCGGTCCTCGTCTTGGGACCAAATGGTTGAGTGCTTTGAATCTTTTACAACTCGATAAAACTGAACCACCGCTGTCATTTCATAAACCCCTTTTCCCCCCTTATATTGCTGGAAAAAATCAAACTCTATCATTTCTCTGCAGTGTGCACTGTAATTATTTGCAAAGGAAAGTGATGATTACTGGAAGGTTAATCTCAACCATAAATTCGATTACTACTATTTTCTTCCTTGAATTAAATTACAGGGATGAAGATTCATCAAACCACAAAACAAACCAACACAACCACTGGTCATAAATCAGGGTTTATTAACAATACAGATGCAGTGAAATTACAGAGATTTCTTATCAGCTGATGAAGATGATGGAAGGATCAAAGCAACACTCATCAATGAGACAGCAGCAACACAAAGCTGCAAGACTGCAAAAAAAAAACCAATAAATTACACATTAAAAAGAAGAAAACTCTTTAAACTAACTGAAACATCACAGCATGGGAAGAAGAAAATACTATATACCAGCCCTCAAGGAAACCAGGCTCTCTCCTAGGTGGTGGAGCTGCATATTGTGGTGGTGCCATCACCGGGGGCCCTTGATAATAGCCTGCCGACCAAAATTATAGCAAAATCTACCCATAACTTTCCTTCAATCCAAAGGGAAATTACCCTTTCTCTCTAGGAATTAAAAAAAGATAATAATTCCAACATAGAATCCCATGCCCATGAACATTAACAACAGAACATGCAAAAAAGTAAAGGCTACAACTTTACAAACAAAAGCTTCAAAATCTGCAAGTTTTGGAGATCAACTGTTGCCATAAATGCAAAAAACTGAGATATTAAACAACTTGAATAGGGTAAAAGAGTACCTTGAGCAGGGTAGGGATAAGCATACTTGGGGTCACTCATGCTTTAGCAGAGTGCAAAACCTCTGGGAAATACAACGAAAGCAAAGAGAAGGAAGGGGATTATAGATTTATATAGAGCTGAGTATTTCTTTCCTTGTCTTTCTAATGTAATTTATTATTCAAAGTTCAAAACTTTCTCACTGTCTAATCAATCGCTTTATGTGGTTTTTTCCAGAATTGATTCGGGCGCTCCCGTTCATCTCAAACTGATGACGTGTGAATTGAGAAAAAGTTGGCCCGTGCTTACGTGGAAAGCTAAATTTGCGAGAGGTGGCCGTTGGATTGCTCAAAGACACTAGTGGTGTGGCGTAAGCAAAAGCTTTCATTCCTCGGACAGCTCAGCCATTTGTGAAAACGCGTTCTTACAGAAAAAAGATCGCAACTTTTAATCATGGTTTTAGAACCGGGTTGGTTAGCGAATCAGTCATGTTGTCGATTTATTGGTTCAATCGGTTAAACCGGTCAGATCGATCGAAAAAATCGGACGATGTCATAATTATTTAAAAAATTAAATAAAAATACCAAAAATATTTAATAAAAAATAATTTTTTATATTACAAGTCATATTCAAAACAAGTCATAACATATATAAGTTAAAAACCATAAAATCAAGTAAAACAAATTGATTCAAATTAACTACAACATAATATTTAAGGTAAAACATATTAAATAATAAATATAATTATATAACTATAATTAAAAAATAAATTTGGGGTTAAAAAATCATAACAAAATTATATAATTATAATTATATAACTATTCTTTCACTTCAATCAAGCTCGAATTTTAGGTTTCAATCGAGTTTCTAATTTTTTTTTGAGTTCAAGTTTCAATATTATATTTCGAGTTTGAGTTGAACTTGATAATTTTTAGCTTGTGAGTTTAAGTTGAGTTGAGCTTACTTTTAAAGTTTTCAAGTTAGAGTCGAGCTCAGCAATACTCGAGTTCGACTTGGCTCGTTTAATAAATGACGTTGTTTGGTTTAATTTTTTTTTATTAAAAAAAACAAAAATCCCGGTTTTTCATGGTTTTTTTCGGTTTTCAGTCGGTCCGGTTCGAACGGTTCAGCGGTTCTGGCCGGTTCACTAATAGCGGTTCAACCGGTTTAGATTGAACCAGACTAAGCAACGATTCCCGATTGAACCGGCCGGTCCGGTCCGATTTTCAAAACAGAACTTTTAAGTAAATTTACACATCGCCGAATACTTTTAGTTTTACATATTTCTACGATAATTAGATGAAAAATATTAAAAGTTGAGATTAAATTTTTTAAGTAAATATTTTCTCATTTTCATTATTAATTCTAACCTTTAATTTTCCCTATTTAATGATACTAGAAAGGAGCAGCAGGATAAGCATTTGACACTATAAGTGAGCAAAGCTCGATTTAACTTAAAAATTATTTTTTTAATTCAAACTATTTGAGTCAAGTTATCAAATATTTGGTTTAAAATTTGAGTTTGATTCGAGTTCATATTTTTAAAGTTCTAATGATCTAAATTTTGTATTTTGATTCTTAATTTTCTAATTTCTTCAATATTTGAATCACATTCTCTTAACCACTTTAGAATACCGTTGTAGATTCAACTACTCTTTTCGAATTTTTCTTCTTCTTAATTATGCAATTTAATCATCCAACTTTTTTATACTTCGTCAATACTTTATCCTTAAAATTCAATCTTTAAAAATATCATTATAAATGTAGTATATAATTTCATATGATATTTAAAATTAACATTACAAATCTTATTTACACAATGCTAAAAATAATATGAAGAAATGGATATGTATAGTGTATATGTTTAGAGAAAATAATTTAAATTAGAATCGATGACATCGTAAATAACTAAATTTAAATTTAAATAGAAACTCAAACAACCAAATAAGAATAGTGTTTATTGGTTTTTTTTTTTCATTCTGACATCGGTGGAGTATACTCCTTTTCCTCCAATTAGATTTAAAAAGTTTTTTTAACATTTGTTTGATAGTCTTGTTTTGTATGCATTCGATAAATAAAATCATACAACACGTTTTTAAATAAAAGAAGAATGAAACTCAAACAAATGTATTCAATTCCACTTAACTCAAATTGAATAAACTCTGTAACCAAAACAAATTGAATAAATTCGATTCGATTTGAAAAAAAAAACTTCAAATTAAATTTGAATGATTAACCGATACTCATAAATTCGACTAATTCAGATTTTTTTTTTCACTTGGCTCGACTCAAATACTTATTCCTACTTATTATAATCATTAAAGAATTGTTGTCTAAAACAATCGAACATACATCTATTTTTCTTACGACAAAATCGTTTTTATTCAAAACGAAATGATTTGAAGTGCATTTACTAAACACTGGAGGAAAAAAATACAAGAAAAAGTATATAGAAATTACCGTATATAACTAAAGACATGTTCATAATCATGCTGTAATTAATCTTTATGCAAAATAATATATATTTTTGTCAATTCATAATTATAAGTAACCGGTTTATATGAACATGTCTACTTTCTCTATTCTGAAACGGACACATTCACATTAAAAAATAATAATAATGGTTTAAGTTTGAGACAATTATGGAACGAAACGATGCATTATACCAAAAGCTGCATGTTGTTATTAAACTGGGACAGACATAAAATTTTATGTTGGGGTGAACTTGAGCTTATAAAATTCTATGGGGCGAACTTAAACTTATAAAATTCCAAGGGCGAAAATATATTTTCAATAGAAAAATAAATTTAAAATATAAGGTAATTTTAAAATTTCAAGAGGACGACTGCGCTCGCCCGACCTCTCGGTCCATCCCTGTTCTTAAACAATGTCATGCTTGCTAACCGTAAATAAGTTCGAGTTGACACCAAAATGTTGAAACATGATGACGAAGGGCAATATCTCGATATCTAAACTAAAGCATCTTTGAATTCATCCGGCAGTTTTAATGATAAAAGTGAATTGTTTTCTCGAAAGAATTTGAGTTCGATTAGTCGTATATACAAAATTTTATATATATCATATGATAAGAAGCTAATAAGAAATTATCATCCCGCTCAATTGGTAGAGCACAAGTTTTTAATTTTGGGGTTGTGGGATCGAGTCTCACGGAAGGTATTTCATAATTTGGAGATATCTTACGGAAGTTACTCTCAACCTAGTATTGGAGCAGTCTACTATCTTACCTTCCCTTTATCCCATTGCATATGGGAATAAGGTTCAGCTAATATTTTTATATGATAAGAAGCTAATCGTGCACACAAAAGTCCAAACTGAGTTGGACCTTATTGGCTCAGATTTGCCTCTTCTATGTTTTCTTACGTTTCGAGACTCAAAAGCTCACCTAGAAAAGCCCCATCAAGCATACTTAACAAAACTCAATCCCACTTGAAAATTAATTTTTATCCATCAAAATAAATTCTACACATAGACGAAGGAAAAATTATATTAGAAAATGTAAAATTAGTACCGACATCAAATATGAAACTCAAATTCAAGCAATCTTAGATATTTTAATTTAATCACTCATTCATTTTGAGTTTTTTTTGTTTTATATTGTAGCTTAAGTTATCATATATATATATATATATAACAATGCAAAATATAAAGATCCATGTAGTATTTTTTTCTTTGTATGTTATATGTTATTTTCATATTTTTATTTAGGGTTAACTACACGGATGATCATTTATGTTTATGTTTTATCTATTTTTAATCACTAATTTCGAAAAATATAAGATAATGTCACTTTCATTTTTATTTAATTAAGACGTGGTCATCACGGGTTAACTGATGTCTACACGGATGATCATTTATGTTTTATGTTTTATCTACTTTTAATCACTAATTTCGAAAAAACATAAGATAATGTCACTTTCGTTTTTATTTAATTAAGACGTGGTCATCACGGGTTAACTGATATTAACAATTAACGGAATATGTGATGTGATAGTTGGTTTAGTCTCTGTTATTTACACATTCTTTCAATTTAGTCATATTTTTAAATAAGTTTTAACATAAAATATATATTTTTAATTGAAAATAATAAAAAAATATTTTTAAATTAAGTTAATAATAAAATATATTTACAAGTTAATATAAAAAATATTTTTAAGTTAGTATATATAAAATATTTTGAATTTTATTATTTATACGCCAATATATAAAAATATATACACAATGTTGTCTACTTTAGACCAAGCAATGGTCTTGGTTTGATGGTTGGATACATATATAGTTTCTCAAGTGACAAAGGTTTGAATTTTTTTTGCCCCAATTCGCTTTCCTTTGTTTTATTTCAATCCGAGGGTGACACGTGGCATATTTTTATTGGAGGATTAAATTTATTTCAATTTATTAAAAATATGACTAAATTGAGAGAATGTGTAAGTAAAATGGATCAAATGTGTGATTATATCAAAATATTTAACTGTTGTTAACGACAGTTAATTCGGGATTGTCACATCTTAATTAAATAAAAATGAAAGTGTCTTATTTTTTTGAAATGAGTGGACAAAACACAAACACAAGTGATCATCCGCGTAGTTAACTCTTTTATTTATTACGGAGCATATTGAACTTTTTTTAGGAACAAATTATAACCTTTTTTTGTATAACAATCGGTATCCGATCTATTGATCAACTAATCTGAATCGGGTACTGCAGAGGTAAGGGCAACTCTCCCAATCTAATTTACTCTATTCACAATCGTCAAGATTCGAACATCTAATATTTCTTAAAGAATTTAGTATCTCGTTTACTAAATCAATTAGTTGTTGCTTCATATTATAACCCTTTTATGTACAAATCTTGATGTTGTGAACTCTAACAATGACAACACATAAAAGCATTGTCGGTCGATGGAAGTTTTGGTTGTTTTCAGTTAAATTATCTTTTGTTTTTTAGATTACCTTACTATTTAAAGAATCTTTGGCCCATGCAACTCATTTGGTACACTTGTAAAAGGACAAATAAACCCCTCCATCATAACAAAC